ATGTATTAAATTTTGTATTCTTCCTGAATGCTTTCTAATTAATTTATTTTTATTCTTTTAATATGGAGGCCATAGGACTATATTGGATCATTTTCCTTACCGAGAATATCTTGTTGTGGGAGCCACTTGCCAAGACGGACATTTGGGGGCAGGTCATCCATAGTGTCCTTATCCCACTTCCACAGGACTCTCTGCTTGAGGGAAGCAAACACTTGAACCAGGATAGTGCGGTACCTGTGTGTAAGGCTAACACACTGTATCATTGGTCTTATACAGCAGAAATGTTTTCTGCGGATTCATCCCACAAAAATACACATGACAAGAGTTGAGGTATGAAGACACACACACAAGATACAGAAGTTTAAATTGGGGCAGGTTTTTCCATCTGTGTCGGGCATTATTATATAACGGTAATTCTCTACATAACCTTCTTCTGGGGAATCCCGCCTACCAGTGACAATTTTGGTAGTAATTTCGTCCCTGCACTTACTCCCCAACTTCACTAATCAATACCCGTCACCACACTGCAGCACTGTAAGATCCATTGGTCCAGTATTTATTTTTAATATACTACTAACTCCCAACTTCTAATAATAATCTTTATTTCTACAAGTACATGTACAACGTATGCAGGCCTAGCTGATATCAAAGTCATCTATAGAAAGCCTCTAGTTATTCAGAGCATTTCGGCCATATTAAGTCAATTTAGTCCCCAGAATGCGACCCATACCAGTCGCTAACACCCAAGTACCTATTTTACTGCTAGATGAACAGGGACAGTAGGTGTCTTAAGGAAACACGTTCTAGAGTTTCCACCAGTAATAATAATAAAAAATAATAGTAATCTCAAGACGTTATACCCCTTCTGTATTTAATTCTTCCTCATGAATATATCAGTTGTAATAACAGTAAATGTGAAACATTTTGACTGATACCAGTGGGATGGGTTGCACATGACTGCATAATCTAGATGTATACTGTGTATATTCATATGTATTTTTTGTTGTTGTAAAGTATGTGACGAATCCAGTTCAGTAGACTGTCGATGATTTTGATAACTAGGACACTAAACTTTAGGGCCCGGGTCCTAGCCCCTTTATGTCCCCCCCCCCGGATTTTTTTCCCAGACTATTTTGGGGTTTTTTTGGGAAGATAATAATCTTTTAAATAAAAATTAATGACATTTAAGGGAAGGAGCATCAAAATGTATCACTCTTTTAGTCTAAATTCAAAAAAATCTGAAGATTATAATTATATTAGGGGAAAAATGCGGGAAATCTTTTACCCGCATTTGAGAATCTCCAATTTTAAAAATGTTTTCTTACACGCTGGGTTGTGCCCAATTTACAACTCTCGAAAGTATGGGAAGTAAAACATACCGAGGGGCTTGACTTTTTTTTTGAATGATAATAAAAATAATTTCAAACCATTTATATTTTTTTTCCCGGATATGACCCACAGATGACAAAATACCAGGTACATTTTTCTAGTTGGTAGCTGGGCCCCTGCAGGGGTGTGAGGAAGCTTATCTGTGGAAAAACTGTATATATTTTCCCAAAATTCAGTATTTATATGTAAATAGAGGGCCCATACGTTTTAAAAATATTTATGTCACAGAAACGGAAAGCCGGGTTTTGGCAGACGAGATCGCCATTTTGGGTTTGAATTTTGTAAAAAACGTTGGTGAAAGGGGAAGAATTTTTCGTGCTTAGATTTTTAAAATTGTGTTGACACTTTCAAATAGGAGGCGAAATTGGTGGTGTGCATTCGGATAATTGAGATATCAGACGACTGGCAAGACAGCTCCGGGAACCCTCAGATAAGCTTCTAGATTGTGTGAAATTTGGGGCCAGTTTTTTTTCAAGATTTATTTTGGTAGGTTTTCTGGTATGATACACATTAATCCCCCTTTCAAATTGGTGGTGTATTAAAAATTTTTTTTCCTTCGTTTTTATTTATTGTGTATATATATATAACCATTTTTTTTTTTTTTTTACAGTCCAAAAATTTATATTTTTTCCCAGTATTCCTGGGTTGTATATTCATTTAATTTAAATAGGTAGGAATTTGTGGTTATGACGTGGTAGGTTCAAAGGGGGAATTTTTTGTGATAGGTGCCCAAAATTTCCCTACTTGTCTAGTAACTTTGATAAATTAATAATTACCCTTGTTATATTTATGTTATGTACTAATTAGTTACATTCAGAAAAAATGCAATTTTCCCTTTTAATTTGCCTTTGGGTCCTTCTTGAAAACCGGAGGTAATTAGTGAAGTCATTAATTATTTAAATTTGCTTAATAATTATTGTGAAATGCAGGGGTGGATGTTAAGTTCACAAATTTCTTAATGTGTAGGGGATTTTATTAAAATTTAATTTGAAAAACCCCCAAGTGTAGAATTTATTAAGTGTATAATAATTTTGAAAAGGGAAAATTCGGGCCCAAAAGTTTTATACAGTGTATGGTAATTGAAAAGACAAGTGTGGCAAAAGATTATTTTGTGTAAAAATTTTAAATTCGCTATGCCAAATTCGGGCAAGGATTATATTAATTTGTGAAATTAATTTTGATAACCCCATTTTGGCTAAGGTTTGTTTATCGCACTTTTAAAAATTATTTTTTATAAATTTTCTTGCACGTAATTGCTAAGCTAAAGTAGATAAAATTTATTTAAGGTAAGTTGTACATTTACCTTTATAAAAGTGCATAATTTGTAATAATCGTGTTTTAAGTTGAATTTAAATTCATTGATCAGGGCAAAAATGGGAAATTAAATTTTAGAAGACAAACATATGGAATAAGAGCAAAAAAAAGCGATTGAAAGAGAAAGGGTCTGTAACAGGCATATAATAAATTTTTGGAAATTTAAAGAATCAAAAATGTAAAATACTGATGATTTAAAATTGTATTTGATGTTTTTAGGAAATAGTATGATTCATAAAAATTATATTACAACAAATATGAAGGAGTTTATTAGTAAACTGTGTAGTGAGACTAAAGTGATCTCATAATTAATCGATTTTAAATTGAGGAAAGTTCTTTCTTGAAAAAGTCGGCTTGAAAAAATTAAAATGTGTAAACCAGGCATTTAATCAGTCTGCCCAACAAATAATAGCTTTGAAAAACCCCCAAAAATTGTTTCCCTTTTTTTAATCCTGGTAAAAAATTGGGAGGAATTTTGGGTCAATTTTTAAAGGCTGTGCATGGCAGGAGGCCAGCTGTGTAACAAAAGTTATTTTACCTAAAGGAAGGTAAGAGGAGATGCTTACATTTATAAAAGCTTTCCCAAATGTAGTGACTCTTACAAGGAAGCTTTGACTTTTTGAAGGTCACTTATGGTAATATAGAAAAAAGTAGTTGGATCTAGTGAATATGTTTTTAATTTAAAATCTCCAGATAAACACTTAAAAGGGTTTACGCAGTTTAGATTTAAACTGGAGAGCACTCTCAAATTTAAGAATAAAATAATCTGAAGGAATCGACTGGTTATTGAGTGCCTTTTGAAAGAAAAAATTAAGCTGTAAAACACTTAAAATTCTTTCAAAAAAAATACACAAGGGTTTTTTTGGGATGGAGGAAATAAGAAAGTTAAAGAATTAATTGTGCGTGCAGACCAGAAAAACAAAATCATTTTAAAAGATGCAACAATAAAAACTCTGAGGTATCTGTAAAGTTTACAAAGGGAAAATTATCCCATGTTAAAATAAAAATTCTTTTCCTAAAAAGGTTGCATAGAGCTACCCTTTTGCGGAAATAAAAAAAATAATGTTTTCCCCAAAAGGTAAGAAGAATAAGTACCCCCTAAGAGAGCTCGTTAATAAGAAACAGTAAAAAAAAAGAGAGATTGTCTCTTCTGCAAGGGTATCTTTTTCTAAAAATTTGCATCCCCAAAATCATGGAATGTAAATTTGAAAGTTTGGGGGAAATTTGACAGTGATCGGTGTTTGGGTAATCAATGAAAAGGTTTGGTATGCAAAATTAAACTTCTGTTATCAATGCCAAAAAGGGAAAAACCCATTAGTCATGTGTAAGGGTCTATATGAAATGTTGTAAAAAATGTAATGTGAAAACCCTGACACAACTGTGGCTATGTAAAATTGCGTATGTTAAAATGGGGTTTTCTGAAGTAGCCTTCCCTGTGTTACAGGAAAAAGTTGATAAAAAAAGGGGGTAAATAAAAAAAAGTAACCCCATTATTGGACCAGGGACCCCAGGTACTTTCATAAACGTAAATGTCTTGAGGGGTATGTAAGTACGAGGGGAGACCCCACAACTTTAAATTATCTGGTTTTTTTTCGGTTTTAAAAAGGGTTCAATTGTATGACATGTTTATGTAACTGTCAGGTTGGGCAATGAGAAAAAAACGTGAAATGCAGTTTTGTAGATGGGTTTCCAGGAAAAATCTCAGTAGGGTTTTAGTAAAGCCTCAGAAAGATTTCACTTAATGTTTTTTAGCCTTCTGGGAAAGTGATGATTCTTAGGCCCAATAAATATTTGTAGGTAGGCTATTACCCTCCTTTTGTAAAGGGTATGGTAAAGAAATGTGGTGTCCCCCTTCTAAAGATGCGGGGGGCCTGTAATTATGGTGGTTTCCTCGTAATAAAATTCTGACTGAGGAAAAAACAAACCCCAAAAATGTGTGTCTTACTTATAAAGTTGTACCAGATAATTTTTCAAGAGGTGGTGTTGAGCCGTGCATAAATTGGGGGAATTAGACAGCTTTGGAATAAATGAAATGAAGAAAGTCCGCGATTCTTTTATCAGGAGCAATACCTAAAAGATGAAAAAATTTGAATTGGAAAATATGGGTACGATTTCCCGTGGAGACTAAACCCATGCAAAATTTGCCCACTAATTCAGAAGGCATATGGGGCGTTAAAGGCTCGCTCCCAAATGAGTAAGACACCAGAATTTTTAACTCCCTATAATGTATAATTGTGGCATTTAATTAATAATTTATAGAAGAGGTCCCTCCTGGCAAGCCAAATTTAGGGTCACTTTTGCACATCCGGGTGAAAAAGGATTCTAAGACTACCCCTCTGAAAATTGTGTTTAATTGTAGTCCCAGGGTAACAAAAATGTACCTAGTTTAAAGGGACTGTTTGTGCAGGTTCCGTCGTTGAGGGAAAAAAAATGGAGATATTTTTTAAATTTCAGGATAAAAAAATTTTGCCTTTACGGTACATAAGAAAAGTTTTCCAAGAGGGGTTTAAAAGGGCTGACCGGGTTGTACCCGTTCTTAGGGCCCTGAGAATCTATTTGACCCCTTACCCCTTAAAAACCTTTCGCTTTAGGAGGTATTATTTGGTGTACACCAGCCTTTTTATTTCAAGCGCGATAAATGCACACCTTAAATGTAGGGAAGTCCCCTGAGTAAAGTAATGAGCAAAAATTTTTGGGAAATTTCTGGGTGTGACGTAAATGAAGAGGGAAAGTTAAGATTTTGGAGAGGGTATTAAAATAATGCAAGGTGCAAATATGCCTCTGAGAGAAAAGGAATGTAATTCGTCCCCAAATTGAAGGCAAATAAATAAAGATTACCCTGGGTGAAGTGCCAAATGTAGTAAATGTCTGGGTTTAAACTGGGGGTACTGAGAGAGATTTGTTAATGTTAAAACCTTAATTACAGTAGCCCCCAAAAATTAACTAGAGAGTTTTGTTGCTGAAGTTTCCCAAAGTTTTTATCCCCTAGGTTTGTGTACCCTTCTTAAAAGGGAAAAATTTTTTAATTCAGGAAGCTTGGAAAACTTAAATGGGCTTGGGGTTTAAATTCTACCCGAGGAATTCATTAAACAGGTGGGGTGAATTAATTGGTGATTATGAAAAAAATTTCCCAAAGTTTAGTTCCTAGCCCGGTGGCCATCCAAATGGGAAAAATGTACTCCACATTTTTTGTGATGCTTCAAAAATTTGGGATATGGAGCAGTTGCTTACCTTTAAAGTAATAGTGTTTTCTTTTGTTATGTCTAGGGTTTTAAATTCTCCCAATTAAATACGACCCTTGCCTCAGTTGGGAAATTACAGCCCTTTTGTAGGGTCAAATTGGTAAATTAAAGAATAAGTTGGAGGGATAAAAATTAGTGACACTGTAATTTCGTCTGATAATGAGGTATCCCTTTAAAAGGATTGCAATGGAAACAGTAAAATTGTGTACGTAAAAACAGAGTGCGAAAAATTTTTCAGAAGCAAGAGAAGTATATAGTTTGGGCAGCATATGTTAAATTTAATATATACCCGGTGGGGAGAATCAGCGATTTTTTGTCTCGAGGTTTTCTTATGCTAAATTTGAAATGTGATCATGGTTTAAAGGACCCAGCTGGTTTGGGAAATAAAACTAATTGGCCTGTAAAAAAGGCGTATTTGTCCTGTTGAAATTGCTGTGACCACCGCTCAATAATTTGTCCTTCTTTATCCCCCTGATATAAATAGGTATTCTTCTTTACCCAAAAATATCAATGTAATAAGTTGGTGTTTAAATTTTAAAAAAGATAAATATTTCTTAAGTTTTACCCCTCTTTAATATTGGTAAAGAGGGGAAGGAAAAAATTAGGAAAAGAGATTAAATTTTTGGTGGAAAGAAAAATTTTTGAAAGGTTAATAATAGAGAAATTTGGGGCTGTGTTTAGAGAACATGTAATTAGGTGAGAGGTAGATTACAAATGCTGAATTGGATGTTATGCTAAACACCTATCTTTCTGACCAAAAAATCTCATCTAAAAAATTTTAAATTGTTCTAAATGCCATAAAATGTAAGATGGTGGGGTCAAGTACCTTAAAAATTTTTTAGGGAAACTTTTGGATTCCCAAGGCGGAAAGTGTAAAAAAAGGGGGTTAAATCTTGTGTAATTGTCGCCGTGTGGGTGCCAGATCTTATATGTACCCAGGTCCTCCACCATTGCCCCAAAAGGGGCGTGACAATTAGTGAACCATTTGATTGTAACAGGGTGACTATGGTGGTCCCAAAAATTTTAAACGGGTCTTTAGATGGGTTCCCTGAAAGTGTTGTTTGTTTGTTCACTGTATTATAGGGCAAATTTATTTGAAGGGAAAACCGGACTTGTCTGCAGAACAGTTTATAAGCTCTTTCGAAAAATTTCCGCTAGGAGATCTGTTTCGAGGTTGATGATTTCGGATAAGCCAAAATTTTGTAGCAGGGCTAAACTTGATAGAAATTAAAAAATAGTACGATGTTAACTCTGTTCCCCCCCGGGTTGTGTACTGGAAAATTTTTTTTTCCCCAAACCCCCTTGGGAGGGGGGGGGGCTTACGAAAAAACTGATAGGCACGTGAAGAGGTGTCTCCTAAAGTACTACCCCGGAAGAGAATTAATTTGGAAGAATTCCCTCAGGGTTAGTGGAGGCAGAAAATGTTATAATAATTGGCCCCTCTCGTAATGAGTGTAACTGATCAGATGTATTAACCTTCTACCCAATATGTGGAAAGGAAATTTGGAAGTGCCTGTCTATAGAGATATCCGGAAGAAAGTGATGAAAATTAAAAGATGCGGCAGTGTTTGTAATAAATTTAAAATGTTTAAAAAAAGTAATTTATCATTGGGCTAAAGTGTGGCGTAAGGAAAATCTTCTTACACTACTGAAACTTTTATGGGGCCCAAGAGGGAGTAATCGACAGACCCTTCAACCCGGTGACATTGTTTAAATTTCACTGAACAACATCGAACATGTGGCCCTGGGCAAAATATTGCTTGTATCCGTGTGGAAAAAACTGTATTTTTTCCAGGGAAAACAGCATTTTTATGAAAAAGTGGCCCTACTGTATTTAATAAAATTTTGTCATAGAAACGGAAAGCCTGCGTCTGTGCAGAGAGACTCGCCATTTGGTTTTGAATTTTTTACAAACGTTGGTGTAAAGGGAAGAATTTTTCGTGCTCTAGAGGTTAAAAAAATTTTGTTTACACTTTCAAATAGGAGGCGAAATTGGTGGGTGCATTCCTGCTAAATTGAGTATCAGAGATTTGGGCAAAAACAGTCCGGAACCCCATGTTCTAGTTTGTGGAATTTGGCAGCATTATTTTCATGATTTGTTAGGTGAGGTTTTTGAGTATGATACACATTAATCTCCAGTCAAATTGGTGAGTGTATTAAGTTTTTTTTCCTTTTGTTATGTAATTGTGTATATATTTATTTATTTTTATAAATTTTATATATATTATATATTTATATATATATTTTATATAATATAATATAACCATTTTTATTTTTAATTACGTCCACAAATTTTTTATTTACCGATTCCCGGTGTATGTATATTTTTATTTAATTAAAAGGTCCCGAGCAATTGTGGTTATGACGTGGGAGGTATCAAGGGGGGCATTTTTTGCCGTGTCCCAAATTTACTTGTCTATGTAACATTGATAAATAAAATTATCTTTGTTATCATTTTTGTTATGTACTAATTAGTTTCATTCAGATAAATGCAAAAAATTTTCCCCATTATCAGTTCGAACTCCGAAAATTTTGGTTTTCGGCGAGTTACTCGTTGTTTTAAGTTAACTCTGAAAGATGAAGAAAAAAATTTTCTTACTCCTAGGTGTCCCAAATTCCCATTGTCTATTAACATTGAAAATAATAATTACTTTGTTTCTTTTGTTTTTTTTACATAAATTTGTTACATTCAGATAAAGCAATTTTCCCATTTCAGTTCGAATCCAAATTTTGGTTGGAGCCGAGTTACTCGTTGTTTTAAGTTAACTCTGAAAGATGAGAAAAATTTACTTACTCCCCTGGCGTGGATGGTGGGCGCCGAGCCCGACTAAGAAGATGAAGCCGCATCACCAGCCTTGCACCCAGTCTTCAAGGTCTACAAATACAAAAGGCTATTTGAAGTACAGTGTGTAATTTGTTTAAGTGAGAATCTAGGTAGCATCGCTCTAGTATAGCAGACTATTTTCTTTCTCAGATTTCATATTCATAGATTACACGAATGTCATTAGTACACAACACACAATTGAAAAACAGTGGGATTTTATCTTCAGTCACAATAAAAAGCCATGTAGAAGTGGCTGAACAATTTACATGAAGTTACTAGCCTGTGATTAGGTGACATTACAAAACCAATGTTAACTAAATGAGCTGCTGCATTGTACTTCTCACATTGAACTGACATTAAGATATTTACACTTACAAATGAAACCTCGCTGTTGGATGGACGTTAAAACCGACGTTAAAATAAGACCAATATTGCTAAATGGAACGTTATTTGAGAAAACCGTTTCACTTAAAGACTAAGTTTTTTCAAGTTTATATAGTACAAGGTAAATAATATAAGTGCTGAATGTATGGTGGGAAGACCAGGTGGCAAGAAGTTGTGAGGTACGAGCCAATGCCAATAAGTAAAAGCCTCGCCAATGGAAACCTCACTATTCTGGGGTAATGGTGGTAGAATGAACTCAGATTCCATGCATTGTTTTTTTCTATCCCTTTCTTTTTCATTGATAACTATGTTCACCATAGGAAAATCCATGTGGGATGAAGTCTTGTTGTGTTCGTATACATGTATGGCCATATGCCTAGCTGTCTCACCCACGAATACTGGGTAGTGTCTTTTCGTGAGAAACGTCACCTCAACTTACCTGCTTCCATCTAACTTTCCTGGCGTATATATGTATTAAGTACATACTCTGCAAGGCTTACTAAAGTTCTACTAAAAATAAAATATTGTCCAAATGAAAGTTTGTCCTGCAACTTGTCTTTGTCTTCGTAAGTTTCCCAATGATTAAAATAATATTAATAGATTACTTCAAGGAACTAGAAATGTGTATGACGTAACTTACTTGTGGGAGAGGTTTTGCTGGACGGATATGTATGCCCCCACAATGTACCACGGCAGGAACAACTGGACGAGCTGGGTAATCGATTGTTTGTACACTGTAGAAATGTGGCACAATGTAATCATGATTTATCTTTATCATAACTCACATATTTTCTTTTATCTGTTATACACACATCCTACCTCAGCTTATTTCAGAGTCCAATCCTATCCAAAGTATACTGCCATCCCTTTAGGCAACGACTTAGAACAGTCGACTGAAACCCACGTACATATTTACTGAAAGATGAACAGGGGGCAGCATGTGTAAGGAGACTCACAGTACGTCTAGTCCAGCAGGAGAATCGAACCAAGATCAATTCATTTGTGAACCGAGTTCTCTAGGCACTGGGATTTTAGCATCTAATAAGAACTACAAGTGATAGGCTCGAAGATTTCCATTTAAAAATATTCCCTACATGAAATCTGCGTGTCCCGACACAGGTTACTGTAGTGTGACTGATCTTTGAAAACTGCTACAAAAGAAACTGCAGGTTTTAATTCGTCAGAACCTTAATTAAACTGCTGTATCTCAGATGCTGCTACAGGTGACTTCAGGGCAGTGTACATAAACTGAGAGACACATGCTCTCAGTGAGTACACTTAAAAGATATACGCCTTTCAATGTATAAATACTGAGAGATATGTATCTCTCGATGCATGTGTCCTTGATAAAGTGTTAAATGTTGTGCTTTATAACCACAGCTTTCGGACTTGTTTAGAAAAGGACCATTTAGTGAGAAAGACATGCTTGTGGTGAAAAATTTATCCCCACGTTTCGTCTATGGCTGGACTTTATCAAGTACACAGAAACACAGATACGCGAATAAACGTTGCAATGAAGGTTTACTGCAAATACAGAGTTATTCTCATGTGCGTTGTTGAATGGTTAGGTAGGTAAGGTTTGTCAGGAAACAGGACAAGAGTTTCCTGACGCGGGTCTTAGTCAGATGATGACCCGCCGTTGGAGCTTTTAGTCATCTGACCAAGGCCTTCCTCTGGCTTACCGGTCCACCCCTTTAAAAAATATGGTAAGTTATAACCAACACATTAATATATTGAATGGTTACATTAACGTCTCTAGTCAGAGAGGCGTCTGGACCAGCTCTCAGGTGAATAATAATAATAATAATAATAATAATAATAATAATAATAATAATAATAATAATAATAATAATAATAATAATAATAATAATAATAAAAGAACCTAAAACCTACCTGTTAACAGTAGAAGACTAGTATTAAGGCGAATTTCTGATAGACTAGGCATATCATCAGGACAGAGGCCACGCTGGCGACACTCAGCCTCCAGTCTGTGAGTGATACAGTTACTTCAGTTAACACTTAGTGGAGATAGTGAAGAAAAGATACAAGCTGCAGAACAAGCTTTCGTTGGGACGTCTAGCTCTGTGTAGAACTTTATGAAGTTATATTCGGCTCTGTGTAAAGCTCTGTGATGTTACACAAACATAATGTTATGTTTGACTGTATAGTTTTATATTGTTGTGTTTGGCTCTTTGTACAGATTTATAATATCCTATTTGGCTCTATGTAGAGCTTTAAAATACTGTATTTGGTTATGTGTAGAGCTTTGTGTCGATAAAGGTCTACTCAGAGCGAAACGTCCTTCTAGGGAAGCTGGCTCCACAACGTTTTATTTTTCTTCACAGCTGGCGGAAATAATCAGAATACCCTCAATAGTTTCTGTACTGTGGGCAAAACGTAGACACGAGGATAAAAGTTTAACAGGCAATATTTCTGTCATGTGTGAGGACAATGAAGAGGAAGGGGGACAGAGAGAGGTCGTAGTGTTTTGTTTGTAAGTAAATATTGGGAAATTTCTCCTGTCATGGGTATTAAGTCAAAGGATGACCTTCTCACTGGATTCCCGTCGAATAGGACACATAAGCAAGGTGCCCACTAGTAGAGGGTTAGAGAATTAGCTACTGGGATCAAACTTATATGAAGTTGAATGAGCTGCAATGCAACGTACAAGGTCATTGCTGCCCCTTAAACCAGGCCGTGGGGGCTCTGATTTCCTGACTGAATAACTGATGAATTTCCTGGAAGCTTTAATTAATAACAATAAAAATAAACAGCTGACTTGGGCATGAAAACTTCAACATTATGTTCAATGTATCACAATTACTACCATAATACCCTTTTTATTGCAAACAAAAGCTTTTAGGTTTTAATAGAAAGAATAAATAAAAGAATACCAATAATAAAGGGGTTTGAAGGCCTGAGCTTGCTACCATCTGCAGCTCATAAGACTGCCATCCCCACGAGCCCCTTTGGGGCGGGGCAGATGGCAGACCAGAGGCCTAGCTTTTCCCTACGAGCCCCGTGAGGGCGGGGAATGTGGCTAGGCCTGGGGACAGTTGGTCCCGAAGATGAGGGGGTACTTGTACCTCCTCCCATGGGAGACTTAAGTCTCGAGACACTCCCCAGATAGGGAGCCAAGGCCGGGTCACCACTACTTGGAAAAGACCCGGGGCGGGAGAATACCGGCGAATAAAAAAAAAAAAAATACCAATAATCACATACCTCCTGCCATAAGCATATGTGAGCAACACGTCCATAGCAGCTTCAGACAGAGTGCTGATTGCTCGCTGTCTGAAGGTCAGAGGATGTTTGTAATCTAACATATGAGATGGATCATAGGAAGGAAACCGTGGGTTACCTATCATTGATGAACGTGGACCCATCAACCCTGCTGGACTCACGTATATAAAGGGAACCTGGTGAAGAAGAAAGATAACATGACAATCAATTAACTGGAAGAGTATAATAATATAATAATAATAATAATAATAATAATAATAATAATAATAATAATAATAATAATGATGAAATAAATATAATAAGTATAAGATTTCGTTCGATTTTAACCCGGAGGGTTAGCACCAGGATAACCAAGAAAGTCAGTGCGTATCGGGATCTGTTAACTTTATTTTATTCCTTGGGGTCTTAATCTTGTCCCCCAGGATGGACCCACACCAGTCGACTAACACCAGGTACCTATTTGCTGCTAGGTGAACAGGGAAAACAGGTTGTAAGGAAAGCGTGTTCAAATGTTTCACCGCGGGAATCGAAACGGGCCTGTGTTGTGATAAGCGGGAGCTTTAGCCACAGACACCGGGTGAACTTTATTGATTTTTATTATTATTATTGTGCCTTATTAGTTCGAAATGTACAGCACAAACTTCTGACTTACTACAAGAACATTGTGGAAATATTTTCAAGACAGATTTCGTTATGTACATACTGCCTAGTATATAAATTTTGTTGGGATTTTAATCTGAAAGGTTAGCCACCAGATATACCCTCTGGGTCATTGACGATTGTTGTTTACTGAAGGCCATGTGGTCACGGATCGACTAAACCAAGTAACTACTTAGTATCTTGAACGGGACATCAGGTGTAAAGAAATACTCTCATGTTACACTCGGTCGAAGAACTGATCACGGACAGTGTTGAGGCAGGACCAAGTAATTACTTATAATTACACTGATCAATGTGATACTATCTGTTAAAACAGAACTGTAGCATCTTAGGCACTAATGTTGTAGAATACGGACAATAGTTAGGTAAAAGGACATCAGTGCACGAATGTGACATTTTTGGTGGCACTTTCGCTTTCCAGGAGCTGTATTGTTAGTAACGGCTTGATAAAGCTCCTGGAGAGCGAAACGTTGCTACAATAAAATGTCACATTAGTTGCACTTGTGTCCTTTTACCTATCAGTCTTAGGTACATGCTGCCTTCAATAGTAATTGGGAATATTATAAAAAATGAAGTCACGTATTTTTTAACACACTGCAAAACTGAACTGATGTTATACTTGAGAATAATTCCGTGACCCATTGGTATCTGCTGCTCCTATGATGAAATCTTACGGTATAAGGCATGACCAGCAGTGGCTGCATGCCATTAAGCCAGATAAATTTGAGGCAAATATTTCTTCGCCCACTCCTTGGCCTTTTTAATACATACATACATCCCCACAGAACGATAACAACATTCAAGAGAATGTCACAATAAAAATCTCAAGAATGAAGATGCTAAGGAGTCTTCATGTCGAATTCTGTATTATATTATCAAAGGCCAAAGGATTTCAAAATGTTAGAAATCTTTGTTAAAAAAAAAAGATGTTCTTCCTCCAAAGGTTTTAGAACAAAATTTAATTCCTAAGGAAAGATGATAATCTAACGATTTTGACTTCTTGAAGAATACTGAAGCAAAGTTGTCTACACCAGAGCATATTGGTTTCAAGAAAATTGTCGGCATAACGGTACAGGGAATAAAGTCATAAACAAAAGCAGTACTTAGAATTCTGATTGAGATGAATGGTCTAGAAAACCGACAAATTGAATATTGAGACACTTATGCATCATACGGGAATCTTTATTAAGGAAACGCTTCGCCACACAGTGGCTTCATTAGTCCAATACAAAGCAGAAGGTGTAAGGAGAGGAGTAGTTGAGGTAATCATTCCCTCAGTCTGGTTTCGATGTGTTCAGTCCATCAGTCCATCGATGGACTGAATACATCGACTCCAGGCTGAGGGACTGATTACTCAAACTACTCTCTCCTTACACCTTTCTGCTTTGTATTGGACTGAAGCCACTGTGTGGCGAAGCGTTTTCTCAATAAAGATTCCCATATGATGCATAAGTGTCTCAATCTTCAATTCTGATTGACATTACCCCTGACACAACTTCAATGTTTAACGGAAGCAAGAAACTGGAAAAAGGGATATCTGACTCAGCAGATCTACAACTTTATTACGAGGGTCTCAATGTACAGTGGTCTTATCAAGAGAACTTTCCAGTAAGAACTTCATCCTTGGTCTTGGAGATATACATTATTCACGAGCTGTTCTGGATGAGAACTTTCCGGACCTCGGTCCATCATTCGGGCATCAGGGGCGTTATATAACACTAAGGCGATCCAGTCTTTTCTTACAAAAATATCTAATACTTTCATATATATTTCTATTATACATTTTAGACTGTTTAATTGTTGAGGCTGTATAACATAATCCAATTCTGTATAATTGGTATACTGGTATGTGTTATCATCTGCATTAAGACCTCTGATTACAATATGTAAATGACGGAACGGGATTTACATTTTTTTAATAAACATTGTAGACCATAATAAATAAATAAAATGTTTATACGTGGTTACCCTTTAGCTGATGTACAACTGCCAAAAAACAGTGGACATAAACACGCTGAGGATAATCAAATCAAAATCTTCCTTCAGTAAATTCTGAAAAATTCTTCGCTCCTAGAGCGTCAGCACACAGACTTGGCATATGAGTAAGCACTGAGGATAAGGTAAAAAAATTTTTTTTCCAGTGAATAGATTTGGCATCTTGTCGAGTACATCCACGCCCGTCAGGACCACCTCGCGCACATTATTCCGTTCCTTCGATGACTTATATGGAGACACCACCGTAACCTGTACACGCACAAAAAAAGACGAAATACAGTGGACCCCCGCATAACGATTACCTCCAAATGCGACCAATTATGTAAGTGTATTTATTAAGTGCGTTTGTACGTTTTGTTTGGGGGTTGAAAGGATAACTTTCCCAAAATATCCCTTATGGGAATAAATTCGGTCAGTACTGGCACCTGAACATACTTATGGAGTGAAAAAATATCGTTAACCGGGGGTCCACTATATGTTGCAAGAAATCAGGAAACGGGTTGGAGCTTAAACCAATGGCAAGGGAAATTTTTAAAAACTCACAGGCCAGTGCGTTAACAGACTGGGCCTGTGAGTTTTAGGACTCACTTCCCCTAGGTTCAAGCCAAACCTGTTCTAGATTTGTTTGAAATCGTTTCAATTGATTTGTGAGTTATAAAGGTGTAAGGTTTGGAAGGCATAATCTTTATTTCTGTTTCCTTGCTGTGGATCATTGAAAATTATAGATTTTTTAGATATTGTTTACCCCCGATACTATAATATTTTTGTAACTAGTGTTTGACATAATAACAAAAATATTATTTACAATAAACTTGGGGAATCAGTGACATGAAGTTGTACACATTTTTATTTGATACCCAAAGTTTTTTCTCAAATTATTTAGTCAATATATTTATTTTTTGAAAATAGCGAAAATGATTTTATGTAACATGTCATGGCAGAGGCGTGATAAACTATAATATACTGCAACGTTATAGACTCGAGTGTAAGTATAATGACATCTGCTCATCTCTCTCTCTAGACTGACCTGGTTATCATCGTCAGCCAAGGCATTAACGATGCCCCTAAAAAAAATTTTAAATGGCTTCGAGAAAGATGGGTGCCATGAAGAGCACTTTGTACCAGCACTGGCTTTCAGCACTGCAGCACACACCAGCACTGCTACCACCCCTGCATCTAGAAAAAAAGATTTAATCAGTTTAAAACATGCAACACACAAGCGAAACAAAGAAGAGTAAATATCACACTACCCCGGATGGAGAAGTTGAAAAACTAACCCACAAATTTTAAAAAAGGGAAGATTAGATTTCAGTGTCTTGAGATAAGTGATGCAGGAGAGAGCAACACATCGCGAAATAAAAATACGTTTTGCAGTAATTGTTTTCGCCAGCCAGTGGCTTTATTAATACAATTCAGTTGGATTGCGTGACCCCAACTGCTGGCGTATAGATTTCCATAAAAAATGTCCTAGCGACAATGTGTGTCTTACATACTTGGCAGTCTTGATATTCATTTGTAATCTCAGAGATGGAGGATGGTGAATGAGTGTCACTTTCAGTTTCGTAACTTTGAAGCCCATGCCCATCCCATGGACGGGTCAAAAGAATACAGAGGCACATAATGGGTCCAGGGACTGGGCCCCAATGTTATGATAGTTAAGCAAGTTACATGTTTATGATCTCGTAACAATCGTAAAGACTTGTTCATGCAGACATGAATTCATTTAAGTACATAAGAATATAAGAAAGGATTAACACTGAATGAAGCCTTTTGACCTATACTAGGCAGGTCCTCCTCAAACCCATACCCACTAACAAAAATATTTGCCCAGCCCATTTTCAAACCTACCCAAAACATTACAATACAACTTATATCTGGCTATGATTTATTTATAAAACCAAATAATTTAACAAGGTATGGTTAAATTTACATGCGTTTTAAATGGTTATGCTTTTTTTTACAGATGATAAAGTCAAGACGTTTTTCCAAAATGGCTGGCATTACGTCACTGTTCCTAAAATATTTGGATATTATTTGGATATATGTGAAGGAGTTGTTTTTGAACTCATGATTTTTTTCCGCATGATGGCGTGAGGTAATATTCCATCTAATGAAAGAAAGTTTACGTGAGTTCTGTTAGTTCACACAAGTCCTGGAATATCACTTTGTTTCCTAGCGTAAGAGTAGCTTTATTGTGACTTGTTCCAGTTACGGTACTGTGATTTGTAGCCATGGGATTGTTACTTGTTGCAGCCAAGGGATTGTTACTTGTAGTCAAGGAATTATGATTTGTTGCAACCAAGGGATTGTTAGTTGTTGCAGCCAAGGGATTGTTACTTGTTGCAGCCAAGGGATTGTTACTTGTTGCAGCCAAGGGATTGTTACTTGTAGTCAAGGAATTATGATTTGTTGCAACCAAGGGATTGTTAGTTGTTGCAGCCAAGGGATTGTTACTTGTTGCAGCCAAGGGATTGTTACTTGTTGCAGCCAAGAGGATTGTTACTTGTAGTCAAGGAATTAT